ATTTATCAAAGCAACCAAAAAGAGGATAACATCAATGAATTCAACAATGAATCTTCCAAACCAGTTGGGTGTGTTGGTGATCAGAAAAACATCTGGATGAAGTCAGACCTTCATGAATTACTCACTAACTCTCTATAAATCTTAGATTGCAGTAAGTTCTTTAGCGCCCAGCTCCTCTCCATTTTAAATTCGGTCTTCAAAAAATGATTCTTTTCTCCCAAACAATTTGGTAATGCCGGAATCCAGTAGACTGGATCTCTGTAAGTAGTCCTATTTAAGGAAAACCAGGTGCACTAATTCAGCGATAACATTATGATTGATGTCGACATTAATCTCAAGAACTTAAGATTGGCTATTTACTTTTCAGTATCAAAGGGAAATAATTTAATCTTCTAGATAAAATAAGATGAGAGACTGGACTAGTGTGCTATTTTGGATTTCAATATCACATTTCCTAGTTTTGTAACTTCTTTCTTCAACCATGAAAATAAACAATTGCACAATATTTTCAGAATTTAAATCAGGTTGAAATCAGGCAGTAAGACTGACTTCACCCTGCATGCTTGTCACATTTCCTGAATTTTTGTAGGTGCTGTACTTATGAAGAATCTCTTTAAAGTCAGTGAAAATTTCAGCTCCATCTTTTCAAGGGGTGGGTTATCAAAAAGCTTTTTTTTCCCTCTCCCAATCCAAATTGCTATTGGGACTGATAATCCTCTCCCACTAAAGTGAGATATCACTCCTTAACACAAATGTAAATTTTTTCTGTGTGTTCCTAAAGTTTTGAAAGCTCAGAAAAAGTCTAAAAGATACTAGGTGGGAGCCAGACCTGGTGGTGCACAATGTGATCCCAGCACTCAGCAGGCTGAGGCAGGAGGATTGCCAAATATTCCAGGGCAGCCTGGGTCAATAGAGAGTTCAAGGCCAGCCTGAACTATATAGCAACTCCGTGACTCATAAAACAAACACATAAATATACAAACGCAACAATAACAAAAGAATACCAGATAGGTTTTTTGTTTGAGTGATTTTTTTTTGGTTTTGTTTTCTAGAAAGATCACACAATTAAGGTGAAAACTTCACAGCTGTATTTTCATTAACACTGGGGTGAGGGTAGGGCTCAGCAGGTCAGGGAACCAATGCCTCTTGGATACAGCTGAGGATAAAAAGTCTGAAACATCTCGTGCTGCCAAGATAGGAAGTATCCCCGTAATGACAAAGACTGATGAGAAATTTTCATTTTGGTTGATATCATTTGGGTTTGCCTGGGTGTGAAGCTTTCTGACCTGCAGATATATAGAATATCTCCAAGAAACACAGAAATAATGTTTGCTAATTTTAATAGATGTTTTCTGGGTCATCTGTTAAACTTACTTCCAAGAAAATCAAACCCTTATTTCCACTGATTTGTAATACTGTATGAAAATCATAGAATCTATATGTGATGTGAAGTGTGTGTGTGTGTGTGTGTGTGTGTGTGTGTGTGTGTGTGTTTAAACCTTATATTATTTTTTCCTGAGACTATTGTTTTCCTCGTGCCTGGACAGGAATTCAATCTCAAATGAATTGCCTTTTCAATGTAAATGCTTATACAAGTAAGCAGGCCTCCTGTTTCTTAGTCTACCATGGAACTCATGGAAAAGGAATGCTAAGTTTATAAGAACATTAATATGAAATGCAAGTCTACTTCTTTCTAAATTATACATTTTTCATAACGCATTTATTTTTAGTATTCGTTTATATCATAGCTTATAATATGAAATGTGATAAAATAATAGTGCTGACTTATTTTGGGCTGGATTCCTGTTTAGTCATGAGGAAAATCCTGAAAGCTTACAGAGAAAATAATTGATTTCAGTTGTTCTTAATCCATAAAAATCACATTGAGTCGAAATGAGTTGTATTATGGGTATGAAAAGAATTGGAGAACTGGTCTAGATATGGCAAAATTGAATGCAGATTTTTCTTGATTACATTAATCTTCCTATTACATGTTCTGGTGAGATTTGACTATTTAGGTCAGTGGTTCTCAATGCTGGCTACATATTAGAATTCTTTGGTGAGCTTTTCAAAAAATACGAATGACCTCCCGCAGACCAAATTGAATCAGAATCTCTGGGAGTGGGACTTGAGCATCAACAGAGTTGCAAAATCCCATATGATTCTAATATGCAGCTGGAGCTGAGAATCACTGATTTAGGCCCTACAGAGACATGAGTGATTGCATATCCTGTTTTGGAAGTTGCCATTGCAGACCTACTACCAGCAGATAGCAGTAGAGAGAAATAAAAGAACAGGCCACATGCCAGCCTTTGGTTGAAAAACCCCGCCAATGCAAGCTGAGCTCCAAAAATGATTCTTTAAGGATTGAGAGACTTGTTAAAAATTATTCTTAATGCTGTGTTTTCTTGGCTTTTTCTGAAATTTTACTTGGGTCTGATATTTAGAAAGCTCAATACATGCAAACTACTCAAAATCCTAGGAAAGGGTATGGAAGAAAGGAAAATCACAGAAAAAAAGTCTCTAAGGACTTTTTGTCTCCAAAGCATGCAAAGTTATTAGGAGAAATACATTTGTCTAGCTCTCTATCCATAGTTTATGGTGTATATTTTATGCTTTGATATATTTGGACATTATGGAATAATTAAATCCAGCTAATTAACATATTAATCACCTCACTACTTTTCATTTTAATGATGAGAACACTTTAAATTTTTGTCTATTACATATTAGTATTAATTATAGTTACCATGCTAGGCCGGGCGTGGTGGCGCATGCCTGTAATCCCAGCACTTGTGAGGCTGAGGCAGGAGGATCCTTGTGAGTTCAAGACCAACCTGGTCTACAAAGTGAGCTCAAGGCCAGCGTGAACTGCATAGCGAGGCCCTGTCTCAAAAAGACCAAAAAAAAGAAAAAAAGCTACCATGCTATATAATAGATCTCCAGAATTTATTCTTCTTCTCTTACTGGGACTTAGTGCCCATTAACCTACATGTATATCTATTTACATTTATATCTGCACTTATGCTTCAAATCTTCATAACTTTAAAAGAACCATAGAATTTAAAGTTAAAACTAAAGGAATCTTGATGTTGTAAAAATGTGATCTTGAGCAAGTTAACCTGCCCGAGCCTCAGTTTCCTCAATTGGGAAATGGATTTTAGGTGGGGAAAAAAAATGAAATGCAAACCACTTTCAAAATTTTCATATGCACAGCGTTACTTCCTTTAGTTAAAGTTGGCTTTTTTGGTACATTAGAATTTCAAGGTCAAATCCTTAGAGAGTTTTTTGAGGGTCACTTGAAGTTAGTTAAATGTAACTCCAATAGGATAGTCTCTGTTTCAGCAACTGGGAAGAAAACTGTTGCATTTTAGAGTCTGGCTTCTGGAGAGCAGCTGAGTTTTTAAATGTTTGTATCCCATGTGTTCCCACCCCAAAAGGCTTAATAAAGATTCCGATTGGAATTAAATTTACAATATGGTGACTAGACATTTCATTTTTAGTGAGATGCATATAATCCCCTTAGAGGATTGGATTTCATTTGTGTAAATATCTACAACTTGCAGATGTTTGTCCCTGTGCCAACAAATTGCAAAAGACTGTTGATGGTATTTGGCCTCTCAAGAACTCACAGATTTGTTTACCAACTAGATTCAGTGTTATTTTCAAGCTCTGCAATCAAAAGTGTGAGCTTCAGCAGTCAGCTGCCTGGGCATTTCATAACACACAGCCTAAAACTGATAAAACGCGGCTCTAGTTTGTATGTTTAACTCTGCAACTGTACCAAAGTTACTGAAGAGCAAACACTACAGATTCCCAATACAAGGAAGGGAGCGTGGGGAAAGCCATCTGACTTAACAGTCTCATCCACAGAATAAGACTTAAGTTGAAAGACTTGCCTAAGTTTCCTCAAGAGCAAAATAAGAACTTGAACCTAGGACTCCTAACCCCTAGATCTGTTGGATGAATCAGTAAAAAAGATTAAGAAGTTCATAGAAGATCAGGTGGTCTGGGTGGCTGCCACTGAAATGGAATAGAGTGTGGAAGCCTTCTTCTTGCTCTAGGTTTAAGCACATTCTCTGTACTGGTAGGACACCAGGTTACACCAGGTTGTGCAGAACACAGGGAGGCTGAAGTACAATGGCATTTGGGGAGATATTAGGATATACGGGGGAACGTGGGAGTGTTCCTCTAGCTCAGCCTCCCTGCAGGAGCTAGCTGGTCAAGATGTGGTGCTAGAAACACACAGACAAACTGGTTCACCAGAATTCTGAGAAGGCTTTCAGGATATATGGGTATTATGGGTGTGGACTTGGGTGAGGTGAATGACATGGGCATTTGTACAAAAAAGAAGACTAGACAAGCAGGAGGGAGAGTATCGTCACTCTATTTATTTTAATCCAGCAGACTTGGCTTTTGTGTATAGTATTGAAATTTGGAGTCAGCATAAGACAATAATAGCAAGAATGCTACAGATTTTGGTCTTGGCTTTTAAAATGCAAAATGGCCACACTTTGCTCTTCTGGTCAACAGAAAGATCCAGCTTGTTGTGGGTGAAGTGGCCTTGCAGTTTCCTCGTTCCTATGTACAAGGAAAGCACATGGACTTCTTACTGGATTCAAATCCACACAGGGTTAATATCTCAAAAGTCAACAAGCCATATAAACAGGACAGTTTTGCAGCCGGGAGTGTTGGCGCAAGCCTGTAATCCCAGCACTCAGGAGGCTGACGCAGGAGGATCATTGGGAGTTCAAGGCCTGGGCTACAAAGCAAGCTCAAGGCCAGCCTGAACTGCATAGCAAGACCCTGTCTCAAAAAGACAAAAAAAAAAAGACAGCTTTGTAGACAATCTTCATGCAATGTAGTGATTTTAGGAGTTGGCACTTGGAAGTTTATAAAGTCGTACATCAACTTCAGCTTTGTTGCTGGATTCATAACAAGAAAGCTCAGAGGTAATAAAGACAGTGAAACAATTAAGATTATAATTTATGTCTCTCTAGCAAAGACCCAGCGTACGCATATTGGCACCATGCCCAGCAGGAGATGAGTTAATGGACCAGCTAACACGGTATGTATGCCCTTGAGGGTCAGAGAAGATAGTTTCTCTAACCTAAAGACCACAGTTATCCCCAAATATGGGTCTCAAGAGCAAAATCTAATTGTATACAAGACCATTCTGCCGAGCATGGTGGTACACGGCTGTAATCACAGCAGTTGGGAGACTAAGGCAGGAGGGTTGCCACAAGTCTGAGTCCAGCCTAGGCTACATAGTGAGTTCAAGGCCAGCCTGAACTATGTAGGGAGACCCTGTCTCAAAAATAAAAAACGACAACAAAAAGGCAAATCTTAGTTACAGACAGAACGGCCATCTAAAGCTAACATGTAAATTAGCTCAGCCTAATGGATTTAGTACCTAAATAAAATCAATCTTGGCCAGAACTTAGAACTCAAAGATTAGGGATGGATGGATAATCCTCCCCTGAATGGAAAGTTGCAAATATTAACGACCTCTCAAGCATTAGTGCTAGAACCAATGAGGTGATCAAGAATTAAAATCTTAAGTTTGTACATCATATTGATTTTCCTAGAAGCAGAATGCCAAGCTAGTAAAAATTAACAGCAAAAGAACTTGCTGAGTTCTGATAACGGCCAGGATAGAAAGTAGAAATATTCGGTGTAGGCAAGAGAATAGGGAAACCACGCTTAAGTAATTATGATCCCAAGTTGTCCTTGTGATCCTAATTTCGGAAAGTGTGAGCTCAAGGTACTATAATTAAAAAGAAATGTCAACAAAATGTTCTTGGGAAGGGATGTACAAGCCAAACTGCAATGAACTAACAATTTTTAAGCAATCTGAATGGCCCTTTCCCCAGATTCATAAGAGAGGATCAGAACTGCCATATCAGGATTCCTCAGGATGAAACTTGTAGGGAACTTCGAGATGACTTTCTGTAGACTAAGAGCCTAGCAGAGTGAACAATCTAGTGCATTAATGGTACCTGTTCTGCACTAAGCTCCCAGCATGCAAGATTTTCATTTATCATTCATAATCACCCTAGGAAGCAAAGATAAAATATCAGTGCCCTTTATAGAGGTAACTGAGGCTTACAGAGGTTAAATGATGTGCTTCAAAGGTGCAAGAGTTCCAACCAAGGCTGTTTGATACCTGGGCTTCTGGCTATGCTAAAGTGTTTTCTTTTGGGTTTTTATAACATTTTTATTACCTTTCTCCTGAGGAGTCCAGATAGCAGCCGCTGTAATCAATGGCTCTTTTAAATTTGTGTTTGGATAATTCCCTTCCTCATATTCCCCGCTCCCATCCTTATCAGCCCATCTCCTAGGACTATGAAGTCCTGTCGTGTTGTTCTTCTCTTTCCTCACAATGCCTCACAGAACCAGAGACCACTACGCCACTGAGCTTGGGAAGAGATTGAGAGTGGAGAAGTTGGTATTTTGACGGTGTAATTTGAGAGAAATGAATGTGAGATAAGCAAATTTCTGAATACCTTATAAAATTAAAAACTCCTCATCCTACCAGGAGATACAAGTTGATGTGAATGATTTCAAGAAAGCTTTGAAACACTTCTTTGGATGCTATGTCCAACTGACTCATTTCAGGACACTGTGAATGTCTGAGGGGCATGTTTATTCCTTTGGAAATAATAGAGCATCGCAATCACATCCCTCAGTGTTAACATCTATGGTCATTTTTGTGCTAGATGAATTATAGTCTAGCCTAGCTTGAAAATTCTCCTCAACTTCCTTTAGGTTTCTGTGTGTCCAATTTTCTGGAAGTAGCGTATCTTAAAATCATGTAGTTAGTAGCTCTGAAATGCAGTAAGCAATCATCAAGCAATTATTATGGCTCAGCTAGTTTCTGGTTACATTTTTAGTTATCCCCAAAGTGTGGTAGTTGTTGTATTATTTATTTATGGATAATGTGAGATCTAATCAGTTTATTAGTGGCAATAAATAATCAACTGACCAAAAATTCAAGACAATAACAAAATGTGGATTATTATATTATTTTCTTATTCTAACTTTATTCATTGCAAATTTTGAGAAATAAAATTTATGCCTTGAATGGGTAGATCCCATCATTCCCAGAACCTCCAACGGCTTTCAATTTCCCTTGGCATAGCACCCAATTTATTTGTCACAGTCAGCCAGGTCCTGTATGACAGCACCACTGCCAGTATTGTCACTGCCTCTGAAGTCATCATGGTCCACTCATGCTAGCTTCCGTATTGTACTCTTAAGCAACCCAAATGTTCTAGGCCTTTCTCACGCAAGGTGTTTACACATGCTTTCCACCCTCTCCCTACCAGCTTTTTCTCTCTTTCCCCTTGCTAGCCAGATCTTTCTCATCTGCCAGCTCTTTAGAAAAACCAAAATGCAAAACCAAATAACATGTGTGATCCATAGGTAAGTAGTATTTGTAAAAACCTATCAGGGGAGCTGGGGGTTTAGCTCAGCGGCAAAGCACCTGCCTGGCAAGCGCAAGGTCGTGAGTTCAGTTCCCAGTACCGGAGAAAAACCAAAAAACAAAAAACCTATCAGGATTGAGTAAAAATGGAAAAATCCCTAATTTATCAATGTAAACCTTTATTAATAAAAAATATTTATTTTCTATCCAACTCATTTCTCCATGAAATTGTTTTTAAAGTCTACTCAAAGTGGATTATTGATCACTTAAAAAAACTTTAATTCTTGGTACCAAATACAAACTATCATTGATTGTTTTCTTTTGAGTTTTAATCCATTTCAATTGCTTAAATGATCCTATTTTAAACTAAAAAATGAGAATTTCTTTATTTTATTCCCACCCATGAAAAAATGAAGTTTAGCACATGGATTATTAAGGGATATATAATGGAAAGCCTGGGGATCTTTTGGTTGCTGGTTAATTGTTGGTTGGTTTTTGCCTTCGGGTATTCTCAGATGACAGGTTTTCAGTTGCACTCAATGATGCTTTATCTTTCTTTAAATTATTGCTGGGTGTCCTCTTCCCATGACCTTTACTTCCTTCCTCTTTTATCTTCTGGAAACTTCTGCATATTAAGCCCACAGCAAAGAAAACCGGTGGCATGCATTTGCATTGTGAGAGTGAGCCGGTGACCTGGCTGGGCACTAGATCCCAAAGTTTTTCCACATCAGATGATAGTACCATTGAAAGTCAGCTGTATTTCTTGACCCTACAATATTCAAACTGTAGGTAATGAACCATGTGCCTACCAGAAGGCAGTCTGTGCTAGAAATTGACTACAGCATGGTGTGTTAAGATAGTCTAACAAAGCTATTCCATTATGCACACTGCTTTCAGGCATGTCATCTGTTTACTTACACATATTGTATTCTTAAACTACTGGCAGATGGGGTTCCTAATTTTTATTCTTCAATGGGTGATTACCCATCTTTTATGATGACCAACTCCGTGGCATAGCAGCCCGGAAACTCCTTTCTTTTCCAATGTTTGTATATACATATTCTGTAATGCTGCAGGATGCTTCTAGCTAAGCAGCACCCACTTTTCTTTCCTGATGATTCAAGTGCTACCACCACTAAATTTTATCTTTTAGAGGGAGAAAAGTAATTCTGAGTTTTGTGGATTAAAATGATCATTCCCAAATTCTTACTGGCATCAAGAATCATTTGGGAGCTAGGAGTGGTGGTACCTGCCTATAATCCCAGCACTGGGGAGACTGAGGCA